CCATCCATCCAAACATTGCTATCAAAAAATCAAGGGGAAAAAAAGAATACTGCACTACCTTCTGCAGAATTATTTTCATAATATTTATTAACCTTAGGATTTGGACAAGTTAAGAATATAACTTGTTGTGTGTAATTAAAATGCCAAATGAAAATTTAGTTCACACACTAGCCATTTTCGGACAAGAAACAATTTATAGACATTTTAGTATGGAGGAATATTATGCAAATAGAATTTCTTCCATGAAATTCCCTTCTAGAAAGGAAACCATAATCACATATTACATAATTTTATCTCCTTCGCCACATATCCTTTTATTCCCATTTTCAAATATATAAACTGCAAAATTTGCAATGTTCTGCTCCTCTTGGGAGATCATTACTGACTAGGATAGTCTAAAGTTTGTTTTGATTTATTCAGTATATGTGAAATGGTGCAAAATGATTGCAAAATATCTTTTATCCAACGGACGCACATGGAATTAATAACTATACATTACCAATTTGCATAGAATATTAAGGAATTTTTAAATGTATTTTGCAATTCAGTTATACTGGCAGGTTTACTAAAAGAGCCAGTTTGGTGCAGATTAGGGTATCAGGCTGGAAAATACAAAGCCAGCTGGGTGATCTTGGGATGGTCATTGGCCCTCGGCCCTAGGAAGAAAACAGTGGCAATCCACTTCTAAAATCCACATGAAAACTGAAGAGATTCTTCCAGGCTCACAGGCCAAACTCAGCACACAAACATACAAACACGGACTTACTGGCCTAATAACTTGAAAATGTGCATTGTAAAAAATTATTTTCAGTTCTGTTTCTAGTTGAATTGAATTACTTCAAATGATTTCTAAAATGATTTTTAAAAAGTAAAAAATAAAAGGGTTAACAAAAGGAAAACAATTGCAAAATGTTCAACAATGAACTATTGGTTCATTATTGCAGTGGCCCCCAACCTTTTTTGTGCCACGGCCCGGTACCGGCATCACAAAATGATCCGCGGCCCAGTACCGGCATCAGCACGCATGACAAGGCAAGGCGAGCCGAGCGACCGGCCAGCCAGCCGTTTCCCGCTTCTCCCCGCCACCTTGAACTCTTCCTTTGTACCTTTTTTATGCTTTTTTGTGCTTTCTTAATCTCCTCCGCCATCGGGACGGCTCTTCGTTTGAAGCCGCCCCCCCCTTCGATGAAACTAAGGCGCTAGGATTCCTTCAGGACCCAAACGCTGCTTTCCAACCAGAAAAGCTCACCCGGAAGCACTTTCTCGTCGAAACAAGATGGCGGCGCCCAGCAAACCGGCGGCCCTGTCGAAAATGATCCACGGACCGGTACCAGTCCGGGGCCCAGTGGTTGGGGACCCCTGCATTATTGTGTTCAATGAGAACTGTTGATTCAAACACCTTCTCCATTTTAGAAAGTTACATTGTAATTTTCAACCATGCATGACATATTTTTTATTTTGGGGGGATAACATTGTTTCAGAGTTAGTGCTGTAGGATTTCTTATTCTATCAGCAATATATATTTTTAAATAAATTACTCTCTCATTTCATAAGCTGAATATCATCTTCACAGAAATGGGTAACACATTTTAGAGCTAATTTTTAGCATTATGGATTTCCAACCACTGTTTTAATTCACTATTTGTATTTTATTATAAACAATGGATATCAGTAATTAGGTAAAGTGAGACATAAATATATTACTATGAGCCACAGTGGCACTGTGATTAGAGTGCAGTACTGCAAGTTATTTTGGCTGGCTGCTGGCTGGCTGCAATTTAGCAGTTCAAATCTCACCAGGTTCAAGGTTGACTCAGCCTTCCATCCTTCCGAGGTGGGTAAAATGAGGACCCAAATTGTTGGGTGCAATATGCTGACTGTGTAAATTGCTTAGAGAGGGCTGTAAAGCTCTATAAAGTGGTATATAAGGTATATTAACCAAACAACAATTAATTACCTTGACAACAATAATTCTATTGATTGAACAAAGACAGGAACAATGAGATGAGGAAAATCTAATTAATTCATGTCGACTCCATATAAACAATTAAGTGAATCCTAGAATTTTACTTGGTTTTATAAAGAACTGTCTTAACAGATTAAACTTATGTCATTTTTAATCAGGTACTTTTCTTGGTAGATATAGTAATGTTGAAGAATTGTAGTAATGACTGGTAGAAGAGGCTGGATAACCACCAGTAAGGACATTTGAAAACTTATTCCTTTACCAATAAGAAGTTGGACTAAAATGGCCGCTTCCAACTCTAAGATTCTATTAGTCTCTGAAGAAGTCAAAAGAAGCTCTATATCCTTTGTAAGAGGCAGCTTGGGTTGAAAACTGTGATTAGAAAGTATGAGTACAAGACAAGAAAATAGTTTGATGTATACTAACCATGCTTATGGTTTAAGAAAACAGGACAGGATTTTAAACATGGCATGATTTCTCTGAGCTCAGAAGCAATGGATACCCAGAGTTACTTAAAATGGAAGTCAAAATTCATCTTCTTGCAGACTCAGCAGGAAAACGAACACAGGTTAAATGAATCTGTTAACTCTAGGTTCATGCATATAACATTATTATAACATTACACATGGGCCAAATCATAAATCAGTCATTTTTTTCTTCCAGAAAGGATAGTCTCTATTCCAGAAAGCAGAAAGAGATGGAGTTGTTAGGAAGTCCTTAAGAGTAAGATTGAAGAAGGTACATAAAATTCAGGGTTTTTTATTATTATTTTTAAGGCAGACAAATAATGTTTTCTCCATGGTTGGAGTAGCAGCTTTTAGCAGTAGAGAGTCAATCAATTCTACAATTGCTTTATTATTTCCACAAGGTGGTGGCTATTCCATCTACATTGGATGCTTAGCCTTGGTACACAAAGTGGTTGGCAGTTTAATCATTTTATTAAAACTCTCTTGATGCAAAAAAAAAAAAGTCTGTCCAAAGGAAGATTTAATAGTTTGTCTGAATTCAGAGAAATACAGTCTGCAGAAAGAAATGCATGCTAAATAACTCATCAACATCTTAGAGATCAGCTATGCTTTATGCTCCCTTCTTTTTGATCAGCATTTGATGGCAGAAAAACAGAAACAAATGCTCCAGGATAGCTGAAACTGTGGAGCTCTGATTTTTCAAACAAAAAACAAACTCAACGTTGCTGAGAAATCCATGTATATTTTATTTTACTTTGTCTTGGTTATTCTTACCAATACTTCCAATCTTGCCAGAATGAAGCTACACTAGACTTTTTTTTTTTGTTCCTTTTTCTCTTGTAAAGCCATGTATTTATTAAGCATGTATTTTATTACATGGGAGAAGAGAGGATTCACACATAGCTGACCAGGGGTGGACTTCAAAAATTTTAGCAACAGGTTCTCTGCCCGGTTGCTGGGTGGGCGTGGCCATGGTAGGCATGGCCTAGTCAGCCTCCTGCACCATGGTGGGGAGGAGTGTTTTTGCCCTCCATAGCAGCTGAGGTTGAAAAAGCAGGAAATAAAGGACAGGTAAGAGCCCAGGTGGGCAAGTGGGCCAAACAGCAGCAAACACAGAACCGGTTCTGTGTCTGCTGCTCTTCAGAGCTACCGGCTCTATAGAACTGGGCAGAACCGGTAGCATCCCACAATACATTCTTGCTGTTATTTTATTTGTTATTTAAGTCTTTCTTTTTGTGGAAATTACAAAAAGAGAAATCAAAGACACATGAGATACTTTTACTACAGCAAATGTTTGGATGTTTGCCTGCTTGTTTGTTTGGCTTCAGGAAAAGCATCTGAAACACACAGTTTCCACTTGGAAGCTAAATTGAAAACAATCTTGTGCTTTTTAAAGGAAGTCTAGCAGCTGAGGTCACTAGAGTATAGTCTAATAGTGCTGCTCTGCCTATAGTTTGCAGGCATTCTGCAAAAAGAATAATATTATACAGATCATCCTGCCTCTCTCCCTTTGAAAAATGTGTAAAATACAATCCAACAGCGGGACAACAATGAATTTTCAGGAAGAAGCAGGTGCTTTGAAAACCTTTTATTTCACCTTCCCCTTTTCGTCTTCATCCTATGACCTATTAAACATTAAACTTTGACTTGGAAACTTCCACTGATCCTGCCAATGGATCACTAATTACATTTTCTCAGCATGGAGATGCCAATAGTACAATATTTTATAGAGTTTGGCTAGAAGTGAGAGAGAATACTCAATAGTATGCATCATTTTATTTTGCTTAATTGCTGAGGTCAAACGTAATTCTTTGTACAGATCAGTAACAATAACTGAGTTACTTAGAGTTACTGTGAATAAGCAACATATGAATACATATCACCTGTTCATGCCTTTTATCCTCTCGAGTAAGCAAGTAAGACTAACTACATAGAAGAAACTAGAAAAAGCCTGCTTATTAGAATTCCTGAATCCTCGAGTCATTACTATCAAACAAGCTGAGATTTTTAAGCTGACAGTAAACCACCTCTACCACCATTCCTTCCTAAATAATTTGAAGTGCTCGTGCAAAGAAAACCAACATTTTATCCATAGTAACCTAGAATAAATCAAGCATGTTAAATGTGTAACAATGAAGTATCATAATGGAAATATTCAGAAAAAGATGATGCTTCTATCAACAATTATAGATCTACCTATGCATATATAGAGACACCATTAAGCTATTTTAAAGACAATTAAAACTAAAGAGTGCATGATCTCTGTCTCTTCTTTAATTAGTATGTTATCCATCAGTTATAGAAGGACTACATAATTTGTTATTAGAGGAGCAATTTTCCATTTGCCTATTTGGCTTGACATAAATTTATGTTTAATATCTACCTTTTGCAGGAAAACATCAACCTTTAACATCAACTTAAAAAGAAGACAAGGTACACTTTCACTGTTTTTTGTTTTTGTTTTGTTTTTGACAAAGAGAGAGAGATAGAGAGGTTTCAATAAAAAGTTTCAAAGTATATTGTGCCAAATGAAAAATCTAACACAGATAAAAATAGTATGAACTTACCATTGAAATTTACTGCCCGGATGTAACTAAGCAACTCTTTGCCATCAACTGTACTCATGCGAGGACAAAGACCAATGTACCCAGGGCAAAGTTCTTTATGCATGTTGTGTAATGCATATGCCATTGAATATACTGCATCAATGACAAACTGAACCTTTCCTTCTTGTTCATAAGAAGAATCTCTTGCAATTCGTTCCAATCCTGTGAAAAAGAAGACAGACGAGGAATCATTTTACTAGACTAGATACTAAGGCAAATCTATGTATTGAATACTTCCTATTGTACAAGAAGGTTGTGAACTCAAAATTAATTACACATCCCTGGCAGATTGAATGCTTCGACACAGTTGATATTCACAATATATTTCAGCAGCTAAATGAGAAGCTGGGGAAAGTGGCAACTTATTTTGGAGACAGAAGAAAAGGAATCCTATGAGCTACTGGGATTAAGCACTTATGGATGGATTCATCACTCATTGTTGTGTAAAACAGTATTTTTTAAAACTTGGCAACTTTAAGATGTTGGAATAGACAAATCTTAGCTGCCAAGTTGCCAAGTTTGAAAAACACTGGTATAAAACAATATACAAATTTAAGTTAGACAGTCTTTCTCAACAGAAAATTTATAGAAAGTTCAAGAATTAGAACAGTATGATAATAAAAAATATATATTAAGTTTTCATTCAAACATTAATTTGGGAAAACAATATTAAATGAAGCAAATCTTAGTTACATTAAATATAACTAAACAAACATTTACACCACCCTTACAAATGCACATGATTATATTCAGGCCGTTGGATGAAAAAAATGCTTCAATTTTTAATCACAAAGAAGTACTTGTTAGAAGATTACCATATTTGCCATCAGTCTTCCAAATTTGTCTTATAAATTAGGTGACAGAAAGAGGAATTATTTTAAGAAACAGAACCTACTCAGGATGCTGCTTCCAAACTCTTTGTTTTCAGCTAAGTAATTCTTGCAGAACAGCTAGCTAATTATATTTAAACTGTTTTTACAGCATTTGTATAATTCAGATTTAATTTAAATGCCTCCCGACTACTTTTATATTCTTCCCATTCATTTCTGTGGTTGATAAACCACTTTGGAAGGAAGGTGTGTTTCAGTCCATTATGTGTATAAAAATAGCAATAGCACTTAGATTTATATACGGCTTTATAGTGCTTTACAGCAGTCTCTAAGTGGTTTACAGAATCAGCATATTGCCCTCAACAATGTGGGTCCTCATTTTACCCACTTCAGAAGGATGGAAGGCTGAGTCAACCTTGAGCCTGGTGAGATTCGATCTGCCAAATTGCAGGCAGCTGGCTGCAGCAGTAGTAGCCTGCAGTACTGCACTCTAACCACTGCGCCACCAAGGAATGGCTTATGGCTCCTAATTCTAAGCCAGTATTGGCTTCAGAGTTGAAGTTTATACATCTAAGAATATATCTAAGAATTGCCAAGTTTCACAAACACTTTAACATTTAAATTAAGGCCTGCATATAGCTCTTTTAAAGATTACCTTAATTGCTCACATATTAAGATTTTTGGATAATTTGGTCAATTTATGATATTAGTTGCTGATATTCTCACACAAAAATTAAATTGGTCATACATAACTGATACAGATTAACATTAAGTACAATTATCAGAGGCCAGAAAAAGGCAATTTAGGAAGACAAATATTTGACACACTTAAGGAGGAGCCATAAGTGTTTATCTCTGAATCATCCTACCTAATCACACATTCTTAATTAACTCTGAAGAGTAACTTCACTCTGAAGAGTGAAGAAGGCTTCAAGCTCTCCTTAGAATTATCTGCTGAAAGGGCTAAGCATAAATGAATTGAAAAAGACTTCCAGAACTGCTTGCTACTCTAAGAAGTCATGTGTTTTACGCTCACCAACCTTACTATTTAGAGTACATTATTCAGCACACAATCAGGGCCTTAAAAGCAGATCTGAGAATAAAGATATAATAAGCCAACAAATGAATAACAGACCTGTAAAAGCGCAAGTATATTTTTTCATCGCATTTGGCAGTAGCAACTCATTTATTTTTCAGATTGATGTTTGCCAGATAAATATCTCTAAACAGCCATCCATACTTTCTGGGTCCAGATCAGAGGTAGTATTCAGCAGTTTCTGACCAGTTCTGGAGAACCAGTAGCCGAAATTTTGAGTAGTTCGGAGAACTGGCAAATACCACCTCTGACTGGCCCCACACCATCTATTCTCTGCCTCCCGAGTCCCAGCTGATTGGCTGTGTCTTCTTTTGTTGCCCTGCACAGGAGAATGGAGCTGGAAAGCAGGTTAGTGAGGTGGGGAGGGAATGGGATTTTGCAGTATCCATCCTCCAGGAGTTGGGTAATAGAGATTTTACAGTATTCTTCCTAAATCCTATCCTTATCAAAGGGCTTTGATAAACCCATTGCATTCAAACTTCTCAAATTAGGTACATAGAAAAGAGAGGAAGTGAATCAGCAACATTATGGGCAATTACATTTCCATAGGCCCCTTCCATTTTTCTATATACACTAAAATCTAGATATGACTAAACACCGTAAATATTCCATCCATTTTTGTACATTAGACCTCCATTTTCAATGTTATCTTTAAATGTTTTTATTTAATAGATACACAATACTCAGAAGAAAAATCATGTTTGTTGTTTATCATTACAAAAAACATAGGGAATATAATGTTCCACTCTAATACTTCCTGGGTAAATACTCCTCTTTTAGTCATAAACATGCATCTTGTAAATCTAAAGCTTCAACACATTTGTAACAGAAAATCAATCAGAGCTATTTCCCAATGTCATCAGTAAACCCTTCAAAGCAAAGCAAAAATGAAGTTATCTGCATGGAAGTAGAAATACAAGAGGGACAAGGATTGTCAGAAGGAGATCAGATATAGCTTTAGGTTTTTTTTAAATTAACCTTGACCCTGGATATAATATATAATATTATAATGCAATATGAGCCTGGATTTAATATATAATATTAAATCGGAGCATAGCTTCTAAAAGTTTTACCTATCCCCTTTTAAAGTTTTGCTGATCTATATTTTCTTCTGTTTAATCAAGCAACATACTGCATTTTTGTGTTATGTGCATTCTCTGGGAAGCAGAGAATATTGAGCAATAAATTATGCTAATGAGCTCAGGACATCACGTGTCTATAAGCAGAATATAAAAACTGAACAACACAGGAGCAATTCCATATAGCAAGAAAAATAGGCAAAAGGAAGTAGGACAGATGATATTGGAGGTTTTAAAGGAGAGGAAATCAGGCAGAAAAATATTTTTTTAAATGCATCCATATGGAAGAGGCAGCTGAGACGCACCTTGCAAGATTACAGACTGCTCCCTTCTTAAATCTTTCTTCCTAGCCAAGTGATACAGGGTGAAGTTAATACAAAAGAATTATAGAAATCACACTCTGGATGCTTTCTCACATTGTTTAATTGAACCATCTATACTGCTTGATACATCGTCAGATCAAGTTCTCGTGCCCAAAATGTTACTTTTGCCATAATTTAGGTTTGTTTTTTTAACAGTAAGAAACTGACTTTACATGTGGTTTTAATGTCCAAATCTAGTCTACAGGCCTAAAATTTTCTTATGATCTCTTAGATTTGACCCCTTTACAGCTTTTTTTTCTTTTTTTTCAAAATCAGCAAGTCATGATAGTGTTGCCAGTTGTTGGGACTCTTAAAAAAATCTTAAAATTTATGTCTTGTTTGATTTAAGCATGAATGGCCATTTTATAAAGGGCCAATATAGTTTCCATGTGGTTTCATTGACAAAAATGTGGAAATGATTGGCTTTTACCCAGGGGTAGGATTCAACTGGTGTTACTACCGGTTCAGTGACTATGTTTTGCGCGCAGGTGTAAAAAATCCTGAAGCTGTATCTCCTGGACAGCTGAAAAGTGCTGCGCGCAGGTGCACAGCATTTGAAAGGTCTCTTTTTTCCTGCTTTTTCAACCTCAGCTGTGCTGCGCAAAGCAGCTGAGGTTGAAAAAGCAGGAAATAAAAGACAGGTAAGAGCCCAGGTGGGCAGGTGGGCCAAACAGCAGCAAACACAGAATCAGTTCAGTGTCTGCTGCTCTTCAGAGCTACCGGCTCTATAGAACTGGGCAGAACCGGTAGCATCCCACCGTGCCTTTACCTTCATCCCATTCCTTGGTGAATTTCATTTTAGTACTAACCAGGTCTGACCCTGCTTAGATTGGATTCAAAATACATTCAATCCAGCCAGTATTAATTAAAGTGATATAAAGCCCTAGATTAAATATTGAATTAAATGACTATGAATTGTTAGCTCTGGAAATGTATATGATACAAAACTGGAAAGACTTCCATTTTCTGGAAGCAAAGTACTAAAAAATAATACTTAAAGTAACTGAAATTAAATTTCTTGACAAACATATACAAACTGAACGTTGTAGAAATATACAAAAACATGATATGAATCTCTAATGATATCTAATTAAGGTAAAAGTATATTAAGTCTACTTCTCTAGGATTACTTTCAGTCAAATTTAGAACTCATTATTCAAAGGTCTAGTTCTTGACTATACAATTAATAAATAGCTAACCTCTTTATTTATAGCATAATCTTTTATTTTTTGAATCCCTTGCAGTACTCATAAATCATATTGCAATATCAATTAAAAACATACTTATTAATTAACACAATATGTCCTTCTCTAATTATAGAATGATTACAATAATGAGGTTGGGCTTCCTCCCTCCTAAGAAAAGCTGAAAGATTTACACTTTCTTGAAGATACTATCATTCCTCTTTCTAAATGTTTACAAGAATAAAAGCTGCTGAAAATATTATCTATCTAGTTGTTTCAAGAACCTAAAATAATATAATTTAACTGGATGACAGTGACACATCAACCTAATTGGTTGTAAAATTTAATTATAGCTGTACTTTTCAAAATAAATGTTATAAATAAATATAGCTATAAAATGACGCATATTGTAAAAGCCATAAATACAAGTCAACCCAGCTACAAAAAATGTCTTTTATGTCAGTCTATTTATTAAATATATTTATGTCTTATGTCTTAATTTATTAAATATATTTGTGCTGAACTCAGGAAACCAAATTCTATCTTTCCTAATTTAAAGTAAGCCACTAGGTCCAGATATGCTAGTCCTTAGTTCACTTGTACTTATATAT